ATAATAATAATAATAATAATAATAATAGTTTGTCCATCATGAACTGACGATGACGTTTTACATCAAAGGAGGAAGAGAAGTTACAGACCTCTCAAGAATTTCAAAGTCTGGGATCGTAACTGGGTTACTGTGTGTCTAACTGAGGTATAAATAACCCATTGCCCCTTAATAATAAATTGTATATTATTTATTGTATTATTAACGGTTATTATTTATTAACTGTTTGCCAATACTTTTTGTGGAATGAGCATGAATGAGTTAGATAATATAAAATTTTCCATGGATCTTTCCAAACTCGTTCTTGGTGCATTTGACTTGAGAACAGTTAAACTTAACGAAAACCATTGTTGAGTAGAGAAGTAGTGGATGCTTTCGACAGTGTCATATATCTTATTTTTTAAGCAAAGGGGTGGGAGGAGTGGGAACTGGTCGTTTGTACAGATCATTGTCTTGAAAAGGCGGCCGTTTGAGCAGGTTTGACTGTCTTTACATGATACCTTTCGCAACATAACTGAACCTGGTCCTTAGGCAGTTTTCAAGGGAGATTTCTCCTTTCATCAACAAGCGCAAGATCTGAGACACGCATTGGTGATCATGCTTCATCATTCATTCGTTTCCTTGGATGCCCCCCCCCCCAAAAAAGCTATCTCATTGTCCCAGTCTTTCCCTGACAACTACATGTATATTGTGATACTTAGGCAAAAATCAAGGCAACCAACCCGCCCATGATGCAGTCCTTGTAGCAGCAGGGCCGGCCGCAGTCCGCGTTGTACGTCACACTGTCGCAGTAACCGCCGCATTTGGCGTCCTCCGTCTTCTCCCGGAACCGGAGGCACACGACCTTGGAGATGACGCCAGAGCAGTGGATGCCCACGTCACAGCGACACCCGCCCCAGGGAGACCACTCCGTGAAGGCACAATTCTCTGCGCAGCACCGGATGTTACACGGCTCGGTCTCGTGGGTCTGTCCGGGGCACGTCCCTCCACAGACCGGACCTGCAAGGAGACTCCGGTATCTGTCTCGAACCCCATCCTCGCCACACGACTGTGAGCACTCACTCCACTCGCCCCATTCCGACAGAATACAGTCCACAGGCTCACATGACTGACTGCTGGTCAAATGAAGAACGAAAGTGGGCACCAAGAGTGCGACGATTAAGTCTTGTCTTTTCATCTTATTGTATTCCTTTTTTCGGAGAACTAGAATTAAAACACAGTGTTTGTAAATTTAAAAAAACAGGGTCTGAGAATACGGTTCTAAAGAAAATTATCTGAACACAGCCATTGCTTTGAGCTTGTTAAACTTTGATTCTGTAGTCGTTGGGACGTGAAGTGGTTGCTCCGCAGAAATCTTAAGTTGGAATTTTGTTTATTTCCTCACACAGATTTTGTTGACTGGTCCATCTGAACAATGCTTCTTTAAAGTAAAATGTTGTATCTCCTCGAATGAACCACGTCTACCTACATATGTCCAAGAAGCGACCTACACCTAAGAGTAGACACATTGTATGAGGGAAATAGACACGCGAGGGGTTAGTTATTCAATTGTTTTCCACAAGTAATCCAGATAGACGTGTGGTAAACAGTAGTCTTTTAAAGTTGTTATAATATACAACTATACAAATGAATTTAGAGACTATATTTTCACCCTCACCGGAATTGCAGATTTTTCTCATAAACTTTTAATTGATCAACACTTTACAATTTCTTAGCCAATTTACAAACACTCATTACTTTACGCATCTTGGTTAAAAATTGCTCCTTTTGAGCAAGATGATGAAATTACAAATAAACCTTATAGATTTATAATACAGTGTATTACGTAATCACTTTTGTTAGAATAAATTTGTTACCGCATTTTTCTGGGTTCGCTTGCATTTTATCAATGAGCATTGAGCAAGGGGAAGTTAGACGAGGTCTTGACGGGTTCGTAATGGTACCGATATTTTGGGAGAATCAAAATTGTTATCTTATTCTTTAGTACCACGGTATGGAATCATGCTGAACGCGCTATCTTATTCTTGTCTTTGGCTTTATATAGTTGTCACTGGATTTCAGAATACCTTAAGAATTGCTTGCAATTTGAATAATAATTGTTTTTCTGTTTAATTAGGCTATATACTTTCTTTTACTCAAATTAAAGTGTATTAATTATTGTCTCGCACTCATACCAATAAATGAACACAATAATTTTTTCTGTCCATACTGTCCCACTGAAACCAGAAATCACTACCACACTCTGTCTCAAAACGTTTACTCCTAAAGATGAATGATATCCGAACAGGTAATTAATAATATCATTTCCCGTGCTTACTTTCACACCCACTTTGAGGCGAGCGTCAGGCGTTAGTTATATCCGTGGACAGACAGACTGACGACTACGCGTAGGCGTTCATCAACACCAACTTCGACTTCGACGTCGAAGATGTGGAGAACTTTTGGGAATCCAGTCCAAGCTAGCTCCGGCTGCTTCAGCTTCCCGTCCAACTAACCCACCCAAAAAAAAGTATAAACCGCCCTCGCACTTTAGTTTGTTCAGCAAAAAGGAATTCCATCGAATTTCAAACCCCGCTGTGGATGTCTGTTGAAAGATAAAGAAGGTTGATATGTCCCGCCCAATACTCCCC